TAACTAGTCTCCCCACCTACAATCTCACCTGCTCTAGTCCAGTCTCCAGAGTAATTTTTATAGTTCAAAAATATGATCATGTGTCTCCCGTTTAAAACACTTTCATAAGACCTCATTATCCTCAAAATAAAGTCCTTAACATAACCCCCTCCACCTTTCATTATCTGACCTCTGCTTCTCTAGCTTCACACGATGACAGCTCCCCCCGTATTCTTCACAATCTGTACCATTCTCATTGCAATTCTCCAAATGAAAAACACTCTCCATTGCCTCTGGGATTGCGCACATGGTGGCTGAAATGTCCTTTCATTGCCTTCTATCCAGCCTCTCTCTCAACAACATGTTCCTCAGTTTCCTACTTTTTTCCTGCTTACTCTTCCAGGAAGTCTTTGCTGGCATCCAGACTCCTACATCTGTGTTGGTGTCTCTGAAATGCACTCCCATAGGACGATCGGCTTATCCTAACTGCAGCTCAAACCCATTGAACTGAATGGCCTTCTAGACAGTAAACTCTTTGAGTTTATTTATTGTTTATTGTTGAGTTCCTGCTGATTAACACAGAGGCTGGCACAGAACAGGACACCAAGAAAGATGAATCAAATCAGTGAATGACTAACAAGGGCTCTCGATCACCCACAGGTGCAGTGAAGGACATATGCAAACTGGGATTTTGATGGCACAAGGCATTTTAGCTTGTATGTTTACTCACTAAATATGTGCTATATGCTATTTCCCATTCATCCCATTTCTATTCCAATGACCTTGTGGTAAGCATCTGACAAGAAGGTTGGTCTATGCTAGTGAAGATGATGTTCCTTGAAACTAATTACCTGGTATTACAATAATTTCTCCCTACAACTGTGCTAACTATAGCTACAGAGTCTATAAGAAGCCACCTGATTCTTGATTATACACACACTCATATATATATATATATATATTCAAAGCATTTCACTTAGAACTAGAACCTATAGTTTCTAAGTTCAGCATCTCTCATAGTGGCTGCCCAGCTACAGTAAGTCACATGTGTTCCCCCTCTCGGGGCCCTGCCCAGTGTCGTGGAGGCCCCCAGAAGCCAGGTCTGTGCTGTGCGATCCTGCCCCTCTCACTCGCTCTTTGATCCAAGGTGGACACTGACCCACACTGGTCCAATGTGGACTCTTTCTCCCAAGAATTAGGAATCCGGTGCTAATCGAGTGTCCCTAGAGTTGGGCCATTTGACGTGATCTCTAAATTTTCACGGTGCCTCACCTTCCCAACACCCACCCATTCGACTCCTCCTTAGAGCCTATGAGAGTCTTCAGATTCATTTTGATAAATTCTCTATTTTCTAAGTCACTTTCTGTGACTTCTCACCAAAGAACCTTCCTAACTAATGCAGCGTCAGTGCTGCTAAAAACTACCAATAGTGTATATTCCTTATTGGGTCAAGTTTCTCAAAAGCTACATTCTGTATTATTAAGGGGATTTCATTCTATGCGTTATAGAAGGCCTTCCTATATAAAAGGGAAATCATCTGGTTACATCTCATTAGAAGTCTAAGTTTCAAGAAAAGACAACTTTTTTTTTTTTGAGGAAGATTAGCCCTGAGCTGACATCTGCTGCCAATCCTCCTCTTTTTACTGAGGAAGACTGGCCCTGAGCTAACATCTGTGCCCATCTTCCTCTACTTTATATGTGGGACGCCTACCACAACATGGCTTGCCAAGTAGTGCCATGTCCGCACCCGGGATCCGAACTGGCGAACCCCAGGCCACCAAAGCGGAAAGTGCGAACTTAACCGCTGTGCCACCAGCCGGCCCCAAGAAGAGACAACTTTATAAGACAATCTTTCACAACCATTTTTAAAGGAAAATACCTTATACCCTGAAGGCTCACTTTAATGCTCTACCCAGGCCCATGCTGTGGGATCTAACACAACCCTAAAGGAAGAACGTGGCCTGAAACACCTACAGGATCTCTCATGCCAGTGGAGCAATCCTTTAGATAGCATCCCTAACATATAATCTAGCCCTGAGTGAAAAGACCATGGTGCAGTTCACCAGGTTCTCCCCATGATGAGCAGGTGTGTTTTGAATACTGACCTTCTTCTCAGAATCCCTTCCATAGCGGAAAACAACAAAGAAAATTCACTTTTATAATTTAAGGCAGACATTGAAAATTGCAGTGATAAACAGGTAAGAAATATTCCTAAATTCTAAAGGAGTGATAAGTCCCTCAATTTACAGTTCCACCATATATGCTGCTATTTATTTTCTTACTCTGTTTATGTTAAAGGATCTTTCAAGTGTTCTTAAAACTTTAGTGTCCATATAAATATGCTGCTATTTATACTGTTATGCTATTTATGCTAAAGGATTTTTTAAGTGTCCTTTTTGCATCATACACAAAATCTCTCGTTGGAAATAAGGTGACCAACAACCAACGTTTAAGCATAACTTTCAATATATGTTATCTATTGATACAAAGACAACAGCAGAAATTCAAATTCTAGATGTTTGAGGGAATATTTTATTTTAAAAACAAACACCTCCCAAAAATCATCCCTCTATTTCTTTTTAATAAATATGCAGGGGAGAAGTTTTATTAGATGTTTTCTTTGATAATTTAGATTTGGGTTCAAAAATGCTTGACACTTAGAAAATTATCAGATTGTACTGGGCAGCAGAAAATAATAAAAGTAATTTTAAACTCATTGGTTTTGCTTGTTATCAGTCATGCCCAGCTTAGCCATGAAACTGTTCTGCACACAGCGAAGGACCAGAGGAACATATCTTGTCACCAGTACCCAATGCTTGTCCAGCCTCCACCTAGCCCAGCTGTTGGCAGTCCTCATGACTTCTGAAGCAAATGAACTTTTAACAATACTCCTTAGGATTAACAGCAGAATATAAAAATAGCCAAAATTCTCATCCAGGCTTTGTAGATAAGAGTGGATCTCTTTCGGGGTTAATTGTAGAAGTCCCATGGAAAGGGAATTTGCCATAGACTTCCCAACGATGGGGCTGCTCTTTCCACTGAGAGAGACCATTAGTACCCAAAGCTTTTGAAACATTAACTATTCACTTAAATTTAGGGAGATTGCTATTAGCAAAAAGTCCCAGCAAATCTAACTGAGTCTACTTCAGTGATACTGGCTGAAAACCATGGTTTACATTCCATCTTCAAAGTGAGATAACGCAAGAATGCCAAAAATTCAACAGAGCCTTCTCAAGTAACAATCCCGTCCTTGAGAGAGCATTAGGACTTTGAGTTGTGGAATTTTCCACCCATATATTCTTTTATTTTCTGTCTTCTTTGCCTTCAAGTGTCAATTGGCTCCTCTCAGTCACAGCTGTACAAATCACAGGATTTTTTTTTTTATTGGCATAAGACATATGCATTATTCATCTATTCAGTTTCATCTGAAGGAAATCCAAAAAAGACACAACTTTACCTTCCAAAGAAATATTTAAAGCTGCTTTTTCCCTGCGAGAAAGTAGGCAGAAAACTTCATCCATGATCTACGTGAGTACAAAACTTTTGCCTATCAGAGCATATATGAATTTGATTTTATTAAAAGATAGGCCTTTTATGCTTCATAGCACTTGTGTATAAATACGTAGCAAATTCAATGTTTCTATTAGTTTGTGTGAAGCCTTACGTATAATAATACCAAGAACACCCTGTGCTTTTCCTACCAAATATTGACTTAAAAGGACACTTTGTTTACATCTGTGCTACATCCTTGATAGAAAACATGTACATTTTGCGGGATTTGTTTTCCTCTAACTGTAAATACAATGGAGCAGAAAATTCAAATGGTGATTTTACATCAAGTAATTACCTTTGCCTCTGGGTTACTGATTAAATCAGAACCCAGGTTAAGGTCATCATGACCCTCATTTAGCAGGCCCTTCTGTTGCTAGAGGAAATGACCTGTGCCAAACTCAACACGCACACACCTTCCTATTTGACAGAAGCCAGTTCTGAGTCACAAAAATCCCATAAAAGAATGAATAAAATAATATTAGTATTCGTACGGAGGTGTATATAAGCTTTGTGTATTTGCCACGACAACAGGCTAATTACGTGGTATAAGGGTAACACTTTCCTCCAGGAGACAATCCACCACCCACCTCTGTAAAAGGGTTGTGGGAGACACTTATAGAGTAGCAGGAGAAATGTCACCTGTCCCCCAACCCCCAGGTCCCCATGTTCAACCCAGCTCTCCATGATGGGAGAATTAAGTCCTTGACAGCAACCATCAACCACTAATGAAAAGAGCTAAAACAGAAGATGTGAGATCCAAGCTCTCTCTCAGAAGATAAAAGTTACCTTATAAAAGAGACAGTCGTGGTTTTATAAGCAAAACAGGACTTTCTCAACATCTCACAGCCATCTCATTAGCCAATGCTCTCTCATCACGAGTGATCGTGGTTATTTAGCGTCAGAAGCAAAATATGGGAGATCTGTCTGCAGGCAAGTGGAGACAAGGCATAAGAAAGGAAGAGCTAGGTGTGTGAGGAAAATGCTGAAGTGGACATACTTTAGTGCCTGATTCATAAGGACGAAAAGGCATCGACTCGAGCAGAGATGTAACCCCTTCTGGGTGGGATGCCCAATTCCCAGGTAAACAATTACTTCTGTTTCTTTCAGCATCAATCCCCTCTGCATGGTTTGAACTTTTGCCCCCAAACTTGGTTTTATTTCAAGGCTTCGTAAAGGCACCTCGTAAAATTTTTTCGCATATGAGAAGTTGCAAATTTCAACATCTTTAATTGTTTTTAAAAATTCATTGATTCTGAGTTAAGGAAGTTATGATTCATTTCCGAACCGCACCAGAGCGTACCACTGAACTCACAGCTGGGCAGCTCAAACGACAGATGGAGAGAATTTCTGGGATCTCACATTTCAGGAGTGGCAAGGAGGGTGGCAGCTGATGCTGAAAAAGACCTTAAATTCAAGTAATATGGTGCACCCAGAACACCCTTCAACAGCTTCAGGCAAGTGGTGAGCCTTATCTCTTCCGCAAAGGCTGTACACAAGCCTTGATGTTTATTTGGTGACGTCACCTTCCTATTTCTCCGTTTCAGGTTGCCCTGATGTTCGTTTTAATCTAGTTTTGCCTGTATCACCATGTTGAGGCAAAGGAAAGGACTGTGCAATTTGGGACTTTGTATTCCTCCGTGGTGGGTTTTGTATTACCTTTGAGGAAAGGATTTGGTAAAATGAATACTTTAAGAATTAAAGTGAGAGGAAGGAGATGAGTGGATACTTCATTTCCCTTTTTTTCCCAACTTAAAATGTGCTGAAGTGCTAGCACACCTAATGTTTATATATAAATAAAAATGATAATAACATGTGACTATTGTTTACCCCGGAAATAGGGTGAGATGGGACAGGACGGGGAGAATAGGGCATAATGGGACAGCCTAGAACCTAGGTAGGATGTGAGAGGACATGGCAGACAGCCAGACAAGTCAAGCTAGAACAAACTCTCAGGATCAACTGGTTCAACCCAGTAGTTGTATTGCTGAGAAACTGAGGTGCAAAGAGAGGAAGATCTTTGCCCAAAGACAAAGAATTGAACAGGTAGGGTTATCACATGAAAATAATAATTATAAACATTTTTAATAAGAAAAATAAAAAAGTAAATTTTACTCACTGGCCATTTGCTAGCTATGTTACCTGGAGCAAATTACTTAACCTCTCTGTGGCTCAGTTTCATCACGTGTAAAATTGAGATCATAATGGTGCCTACTTGACAGGCTGGATGGAAAAATCAAATCAGTTAATACTTTTAAAGTACCTGGAACAGAACCTAGAAACAATAAGTATTTGATAAATGTCAAATGTTTTTATTATTATTATGGCCACTACTACTGATGATTCAATCAGGCCTTTCTCAAGTAAGTGAGGTTTTGTTGATGAGCTGGAAAACTCAGTCTACTGTGGATTTGCGTCTCCCAGTGGCATGGATGTCAACATTTAAGGCTACACTGGGGCAAAGACTAGGTTAGCTTGGAGACAAAGGTGGGGGTGGGAAGAGTCGCATCTCCATGACTAATAGTCACTCATATTTAAAAACACTCAGGTAGCAACTTTCATGGAGCATAAAAAACTCCAAGAGTGGAACTGAAAATCCAACCTTTCTTGAGTCAGTTATGATTTTTAGAAACCTTGACCAAGCCACTTCCTCCTCTTTAGTGGTTTCCATATCTAGTGTTAGTAACAATCTCCCCTTGAATTGTTCTAAAGATTAAGCAGGTCTGAAAGCACTTTATGACCTATAAATCTTACAGAGAATCCTACATTCTTAAAAGCACAATGTATTACAATTATAAAACGTTTCTCTTGTTCTGAAATCCCAGAAAAAAATCGTTCTTGCTTTCTTCCAGGGATTTAGCATTGACCATGAAAACAGAATATGAAGTCAGAATCTTCATGGGAAACGTGTTCAGAAGAAAGAACAGTGAGCCAGGAAGCTTGGAGGTTTGGGCTCTAGCCGCAGCTTTCCCATGGACATGTCATATATGTCCCAGAAAGTCATTCAGACTTTGTAGCACCCAGTTTCTTTTTCTGTTAATCATCGAGTGAATTGGATGACCTCTCCCCGCCAATTCTATAATTCTAAATGTCATACGTATGTTTGCATGAATCCACAAGTCACTAAAACCTAGCAGATTTCAGAAAATTATTTAATAAACAAAATTTCTCATCAGCAGCTCAAGAGATCTTGGAACTGACTCCCAAAACATCGGATAATCATGTTTAGGCAAAGTCTTCAAACCCAAAGAGAAGATCTCGGGATTGTTGAGCGTCTTTTCACCACCATTCATACCACGCAGAAGACAGGCTGTCAGTTCCGAGCTCACACTCACTCTGCCCCGAGGGCTCAGAGCATTGGAACATCTCTCATTAATTGGGGGGGCAGGGGGGGGTGCTTAATATACAGAATATGGTATTGCCTCTTTCACGATGAAATGAAATCTAAGAGCACCTTTCAGTTCTATAACATTTTCAGCATCTCAAAATGCTTTGAGAATAGCTTCAGCTTTTTTTTTTTTTTCTCATTTCTGATTTGATCCATGTAATGACTTTGTAAAGCAGGCGAGGCCCAGGAATTATTGTGCCCATTTACAAAGCAATATGCTGGGGGCAAAGAAATAAAATAACTTGGTTACCTCTTAGAGATGGTGGTCCTCACTCTGGGTTCTCCTAACTTGCAAACAAAACCCAACCCCGTGTAGGAGTGACCTCCTCTCTGTAGTCCACCTGCCTGTAGATCAGTCCCTTGAAATGCGTGGCTCAGCTCCCTTTAAGAACAAAAGGCTCAGGGCCAGCCTGGTGGCACAGTGGTTAAGTTGACATGCTCTCTTTCCGCGGCCCAGGGTTCGTGGGTTCGGGTCCGAGGCGCAGACCTACACACCGCTCATCAAGCCATGCTGTGGTGATGTCCCACATACAAAATAGAGAAAGATTGGCACAGATGTTAGCTCAGTGACAATCTTCCTCAAGCAAAATGAGGAAGATTGGCAACAGATGTTAGCTCAGGGCCAATCTTCCTCACCAAAAATAAAAACAAACAGACGAAAAAGAACAAAAGGCTCTCCTCCCACTCACTGCCCAAGTCACTATCTGGGAGCTGGCACAGAACTGAAGTGGTTCTCTGAATGCTTTAGCCTTTTTAAAGGACCTCCATGGAAAAATAAAATTCCCAGATAGAAACAATGGACTTATTGATGACCAAATTAGACCCTGCTTCCATGCCCTGTGGTTTCTCCCCATAAATGCTTTTCCCGGACTTCAGTGGCTGCTTCAGGAGAGCTGGCCAGAACTCTTTCATCAGAGCTAATTTTTCATCCTAAGATTTCGGCCATCTCTCAGATTATTTTTAAAAGGGGGAAGGGGTAGATTATGTCCTCAAAAGAAAGATCCTACAAGGTCCTTACTATTTTATATCCATGGGGAGAATTAGGAGAATTTGAGAATTATACCCTTCTCCCTTAACTGACTGAGAAGTGGACCAACTTCCAAACACAAATACAAGATTCTGAAAACAAAGTGTAATTCTATATAACTCACTTCCCAGCCTCTGTGGTAGAAACAAGGCTGTGATATGTTTGAAGTGCCTGCCGCGGGCTGAGTTGGCAACTGGAATCCAGCAGAGCCAGCGGGTTGGGAACGAAAGATCACACAGAGATTAGCTCCACAAGAAACATGCCTGTGTTTGCATAATACTCATGTTTCCACCTTCATAAGGGCTAATTTCATTTATTCCCCAAACTGAGCGTCAGAGAAAGCTACTCATAGTGGTACAAACGGTTACATTGCTGCTTTTGCTGGTTCTATAAGAGGAACATTGTTGCTTTGCCTTTGGCTATTGAAGCAAAATAAATACAGCTCCAAATCTTTTTCACCTATGATGGAAAATATTGGCAGCCATATGCATCCTTTCACCTAATTCAGGTCCACAAATATTGAGAACCTCTTGTGAGCAAGGCATCATGTTTGGTACTTCAGGGAACCTAAATCTGAGTAAGACACAGCCCCGTTTCCCAAAAAGTTAAATTGAGGGAGTAATTGCTGGACAGGGATCGTGAGGGGCTGGGGATGGGGTGAGGGAGATGACAAGTCTTTGAATCACTGTTTAGAATTACAGGTTTTATAATGAAAGTGCCCCAAATGAGCAAACACAACATAGCTGTAAGACCAGGGACCATGTCTCCCTTGAAATTTTCCTCCATCCTACTGTGGTACTTAAAACAATTTTGGGGGGAAAAAAAGGAAAGGTAAAAGGTATTTTGAAGGTTCTGAAAAGGGATGGTTCTTAAATCAAGGGGATAAGAAATGGTTTCATGAAGGAAATGGCACTGGAAATGAGTCCTGAAGATTGAGTAGATTTTTAATAAATGAGTAGAATAATAACAAATATATATATAATGCAGGCCGGCTCCAGTGGCCTAGTGGTTAACTTTGGCATGCTCCACTTCAGCAGTCCAGGTTCAGTTCCTGGGTGCAGACCTACACCACTCGTCGGTCAGTGGCCATGCTGTTGTAGCAGTTCACAGACAAAAAGAGGAAGATTGGCAATGGATGTTAGCTCAGGGTGAAACTTCCTCAGCAAAAACAAACAAACAAACAAACAACAACAAAAAAAATATATATATATAATGCGCAATTTTAAATGGCACTGCTACATATATCATCTTACTTCTTACGATAAAAAAAGAGAAAGTCTCTCCAGGTAGGAAGTGCATGGGGAGCAAAAGCAAGGCCTAGGATGCACCAGACATCTGTAGGAATTAGCAAATACTTTCCCATGCACACAGCAAGACTTCAGTAAGCACCTACTATGTTCTAGGTGTGAAGTATAGGTGATACAAGGATCTTGAGGCACAGATGTCTGCCTTCAAGTGTCATGCAGCCTGGAGGAGAGGCTGACGTAGTCGGTTCAGAAGTTACATGTCGGGTGGCAGTTGAAGATAAAAATGGGAGACGACACCAGGACCATGTTAGCAGGGTCTCTAAAACTAGGCTGACGGGGCAGCACTTAATTCAGTGACAACAGAGGAATATTAAAGAATTTGGGCTAAGGAGACATGATCCGGGTTGAACATATGATTCATTTAGAGCAAATGCATAGGATTCATTCAAAACAAGAAGAAATGAGGAAGAAACTGGTTAGGAGACACATGCAAAGGCTCTAGGCAAGAGGGAATAGGGCTCTGAAACACAGTAGCACTGAAAAGGATTAAAGAGAATGAAAAGAAAAAGGAATCAACTGAAACAGACAGTGCAGGGCATTGACTTGTTTGAAAGTAAAAGCAAATGTTTGCTATGGGCCGTGCTGAGTTTGGGATGCTAGCAGGATGTGGAGAGGAGGTGTTTAGCCCACAGCTGGTCAGTCAAGTCAAGGGTACTTAGGCGCTGGCAAGAAAGATACATTTCGGTACTATCCACAAAGGAGTGGCTGCTGAGGCCGTGGGATTGAGCCAGCGAGCTGAGGTAGTAAATGGAGGTATAGAAATAGAAAACGTTCCTGGGGAATATTTACATTTCTTCAGGAGAAGTAGAAAGAGCAGCATGGGAAGAAGACAGGAGAAATGAGAAAAGAGTTGAGGGTCGAGACGATGCAGTGCCAGGGAACGCGGAGAAGGAGAATGTTTAAAGGAAGGGGTGTCAACAGTCAGATGCTGAGGAGAAGTCAGGAGGTGTGGACTGACATGAGATGAGCCCTTGGATCTAGGGCTCAGGAGGTCACTGGCTGCGTTTGAAACAGAAACTTCAGTGATGCCAAGGACAGAAAGTCATCACTGAAGCTAGTAAAAGGCGGGCGGGCAGACAGCACAGAAGTAGACATTAGGAAGTCTGATGGGCGGATCTCGAAGGAAGATGTCAGTGAAGAGGGAAGGACTGATGGGGAGGGGCACAAAAGAATTGGGGTTGCAGAGAGAGGGGCTAACATCGCAAGGAGAAGGGTGCGTGCTCCTCAGAGGCAAGCTTGAAAGAAGAAACTGTGGGAGGGGGTGGTGAAAATACAAAGGCTCTCCGTAGACTGTCCCACCCAAGCCCATGGGCACAATTGCCACCTCTCCTTGGAATGACTCAAAATTTCTATCTCCTGCCCTAACCTCTTCCTGGGCTCCTGATGTCTATACAAAACGATCTACTAGACAACTCCACCTGGGTTGGCGCCCCAAGACTCAACCTGCCCAAATCAAATTCATGACCTTTCCTCCAAACAATGTCATCTCCCACTGTTCCCTTCTCAATAAATGGTAATTGCCAAAGTCAGAAATTTAGGACATACCTCAGCATCCCTATTGCTCTCAAACCCCCACCATCAACAACAGGTTTTAATTTGCCTCCCAAAATCTGCCTTTACCCCCTTCTAAGCCCTATGCTACAACTAGAGTGAACTTTTCAAACTCAAGTCTGATCAGGTCCAGCTCTGCTTAGAGCCCTCCAGTGGCTTCCTCTTGGACAGGGCCAGAATCTTTTTTCTTTTTTTATGCTTTTTGGTGAGGAAGATTGGCCCTGAGCTAACGTCTGTTGCCAATCTTCCTCTTTTTTTTTCTTTCTCTCCAAAGCCCCAGTACATAGTTGTATATCCTAGTTCTTCTGGTTGTATATCCTAGTTGTAGGTCATTCTAGTTCTTCTGTGTGGGACGCTGCCACAGCATGGCTTGATGAGTGGTGTGTAGGTCCACACCCACAATCTCAACCGGTGAGACCCAGGCCACAAAAGCAGATGCGTGAACTTAACCACTGAGCCCCAGGAGCCAGTCCCCAGGGCCAGAATGACATGACTATCCAGGCCCTGCATGGCCTGGCCCTGACCATCTTTCAGCTTCACTTCATACTCTCCCCTCACCTGCATACCCCAGCCGCCCTGCCCTCCCTTCACTTCCTCACATCCTTCCAGTTCTCTTCCTCCTCTGTGCTCTGCACATGCTCTTCCACCTGCCCAGTACTCCTCCCTGCCACTCTCTTCACCTGGTTGACTTCTATTTTAGGCAGGATGGGAGACAGGATAGCAGAGGGATCAGGACTCCAGTCTTCACAGTCAAACTGAGTTCTTAGCCCCACTCCTCCACTCACCAGTTGGGTCATCCTAAACACATTATTTACTGTCCTTAAGCCTAAGTTTTCTCACCCGTATGTTAACATGAGTCCATATCTCACAGATGATTCATATAAAGCACTAAAATCTAGGTCTGGCACATAATAACCACTTGGTAAATGTCAGCTAGTTTTTCTTCTTCTTCTTCCCAATGTTGGGTCCATCGTCACTTCCTGGAGAAGCCCTCCCTGACTGGGTCACCGCCCCTCTGTCTCCTTTCTTAGAGCCCTTGTGCTCTCCTTCCCATCACAGATTTCATTTTGCATTTATTACAGGAATTTTAGAGTATGTCTGTCTTCCCTACCAGACTGGAGGCTCCTTGAGGGCAGGACTTGCTCGCTGTGCTCATGCACGTAGCCCAGTCCCCAGCACAACGTCTGCACAGAGTAGACAGTCAACCAACATTCGCCCAACGAGTGAATGAATGAATGAATGAGCAGACAGGGCAGTCCAGCTGTGGTTGGAGTACGTAAGGGTTAGCACATCTAGCTTGTCCTCTGTGCAACAATGCAGTATTTTGTCGTTTAGTCATGCCATCCTTGCGTTAGTGAGGGCCGGATTAGC